TGATATTTTCAATGAGCCAGATTTTGGTATCATTGATACTCTACTATTTTTCTGTTTCAAATTTCACTGATTTCTGCTCCAAGACTATTTTCTTCGCTTACTTCAGGTTAAATGTACTCTTCTTTCTCTTGTTTACTAATATAAAAGCCTAAGTTATTACTTTTATATTGCTCTTCTTTCTCAATATATGCATTTAGTGCTATAAATTTCCCTCTAAACACTGATTTTCCTGCATGCCCCAAATTTTGATAAGTTGTAGTTCCATTAAGTTCAAAATATTTTTTAATTTCTCATGAGACTTCTTTTACCCATTGGTTATTTCAAATTGTTGTTTAATTTTAAAATGTTTGGAAATTTCCCAGCTATCTGACTGTTGCTGATTTGTTTTATTTCTGTTGTGGCCTGAGCACATACTTTGTACTCTATTCTTTAAACCTGTTGAGGGTGTGTTATGGTCTAGAATATGGTCTATCTTGGTGAATCTCCTATGTGGGCTTGAGAAGAATGTGCATACATTTTTTTTTAACCCTTTATCATTACAGAATTGTTGTCATTATGCCTGATTATCTACCTTGTTCTGAACAACAACAAAAAAAATGATTTTAACCTCTATTTATTCCTTTTCCAATATTTCTTTTCTTTATGTAGTTTCTGAACTATATATAATTTTCCCTGTACCTAAAGAAGTTCTTTCAGAGCAGGTCTAGTGGCAATGAATTCCCTCTGAATTTATCTGAGAAAGTTTTCCTCTTTCATTTTGAAGTATAACTGCTTGAATAGAATTGTAGAATGCCAGGGTTTTTTTTTGTTGTTTTTTGTTTTTTAACACTTTAAAGATTTCATTTCACTCTTAAAGTCCATTGTAGGTCAAGTGTTTCCCCCCTCAGGCTTCCTTCAATATTTTCTCTTTGTCTGCAATTTGAATATAATATTCTTAGGTTGGTTTTGTTTGTTTGTCTTTTTGTTTGGAAACTTATCTTGCTTGGTGTTCTCCAAACTTCTTGTAACTGTGGGTTAATGTCTGTCATTAATTCTGGAATATTCTCAACCATTATTACTACAAATATTCTACTTCATTCTCTTGTACTATTCCAATTATTTGTGTTCACCTTTTGATATTGTCCCACAGGTTTTGGATGCCTATTCTGTTTTTTTCTCTTTGCATTTCAGTTTGGGAAATTTCCATTGACCTCTGTTCAAATTAACTGATTCTTTTCTCAACCCTGCCAAGTCTACTGATGAGCCTATCAAAATAGTCTTCATTTGTTACCATGTTTTTATTTCTAGCATTCCCATTTGATTCTTTTTTATTAATTTTCATCCCTCTGTTGACATTACACACCTTGCACGTGGCATACTTTTTCCATTAGAGTTCTTAACATATTAAATATAATTATTTTAAATTCTCTGTCTGAATTTCTAAATGTCATAGCTTACTTGATTTCTTCAAAATATATTTTTCTTTGTCCTTTAGCATATGACTTTTTTTTTTTAAAGTCAGGCATGTTGAATTAGGTACTAAGTACTGAGGTAAATAGGACTTTAGTATAAGAATCTATGTTAATCAGGCTGGGAGTCCAGCTGTATTTAATGTTTGTTTTAGCCATAGGTATTCAGAGGCTTCAAATTTCTCTAGAGTCCTAATTTTTGTATCCTCTCTTGGTTTTGGGGCTTTTCTTTGTACTGCTCCTTAGAGAAAAACTGTGTCTTGCAGGTCTTTCAGCTATAATTAAGTATTATTATCCTAAAGACTTGTTGGTATGGTGGTAAAGTGTGGGGGGAAGGGAAGTATTCTATAATGTGTTTAAATCTGTCTTTTAATGGACCTGTCTTGGAGTTGTGGTGTTCATAAGTATTTCTGTCCCTACTCCAAGAGTATAGCTTTCTTACTCTCCTTACTTATTCCTTTCCCTGGCTGCAACATTCTCAATCTAATTCTTTAAAGCCCTGGTCTCTGTTTTTTTCTCCCTTTAGGTGAGAAAGGCAGACTGGCGCTAGAGTAGAATTCCCTTTTCCTAAATGGGATACAGCATGAAAATTATTCTCTGGCAATTTTTTTTTTTTTTTTTTTTTTAATATCCCGGAGACTAGGTTTTTTGCGGGGAGAAGAGAGAGTCTAGGAGGATTTAAAGGTGGCTATTCCATCCCTCCCCTAGTTAAACTTTCTAATATATCTTTCTCAGATTCTCACTGGGAGAATTTGGTGGATTCCTGGAAGGAAAGCCCATATGAAGGCATCACTGTGGTCCACCAAGGATTTTTTTACTCTCATACTAGTAAGCCCTTGGCTTCATAAAAATAATCATGTACGTGTTCCCCAGAATGTGGTAAGCAAATTTCAGGAGCTGTATTTCTCTGGACTGCCTGTGTATCCAGATTTTGGATCCAAGAAAAGCTATTGATTTTCAGTTTGTCCAAGTGTTTCCTGGTACAGGACAGGTGTAATGATTTCTAAGCTCTTGACATGTTGAAGTGAAGCTGAAAGACTACCCCCAGAGCTTTTTATTTTGTCAGTCCTATAATGTGTATTTCTAATGAATTCTCAGGTGATATTGATACTACTAATCTGAAAACCATTGCTATAAAGAAGGTTAGGTTCTCAATGTTTACTGCACATTCCTTATTACATGGAAAGCCTTTCAAAATCTTGATGCTCAGGCATCATCCCACATAATAATTAAATCAGAATTCTGGACATTTGACCTAGGCATCAGTATTTTTAATGCTAATTTAGAAAAGTAATACACATTAGGATCGCATGGGAAAAAAATTTTAATATATTTATATCCAGAAGTGTGTTAAAGCAGGCTTGTACCAGCTTACACAAGCCAATTTTTAAATTATCAAGAATTTCGTGAGTCAAAGTCATTATTCAAAATTAAATTATATAAACTTACAATTAAATGAATCATTAAAAACAGACTCACGACTCATCACTTCCTAACTATGTTACTAAATTTTACTTTTATCTAAACTCTTATAGTTAATTATAGTTATTGTATCTGTATCGTGAAAATACTAAATAATACTGTGCTTCTAAGCATCTCTTCCTAACTTTCCATTTAGAAATTTCATGTTGATGGCTTGAAATTTGCTGTGGTGAAATTAGTTCTACCATGTAATTGTCAAATACTATAAATCAGGACTTCCCCTATCTCAGAACAGGTAGATATATACTTATCAGTGCACAACTTACATCTAACCCTGACTCCAAGATATTCCAATTCAGTTGGCCTGGGATGAGACTTGAGGATGGAAATTTTAAGAGGTATACCAGATGGTGTTAATGTGCATTCAAAATTGAGAAACACTGTTCTAGTTTATAAGTGCAGCCAGGTGGTAGAAGTAGAATCGTTTAGGTGTGATTCATTTTAGAGAATAACTTCCAAGATAATATAAACATCTATATTCTTCTTCAAGGGTTCTGGAAGTGAAGTTGTGTCACTGCTGCTTGTTTTGTGATATAGACAAGTAGAGGAAAGCCTCAAGGCAAATCATTATATAAAAATTTTATCTTAAGAGCAATGCAAATCCATGGAAGAGCTTTTAAACAGAGAAGAATGTGATTAGATTGTGGTTTTAAACAAATCTCTGTGGAAAGTTTGGAAAAAACAAATTGGAGGGTGGCAAGAATATAGGTAGAGGGCTGGGGGAGGTCATGACAATAATCTAATCCTCTGTCTCCCTCAGAGATGATGAGCTTTTCTCCTGCAACAGACACTGCTAATTGCCTAAATTTTCATTGCTAAGACTTCCTACCTTCCCTTGCCTCTTTCTACTTAATAGGGATTGGGAAATGAAGTATTTAGCTTTCTTGGTCTCTCTAGAAGCTAGGGATGGCCATGTGACACACTTCTGGCCTATAAAAGCAGAAATATACAGGAAGAACAAAGACTTCCGGGAAAGCTTTTTCTTTCCTGATAAATGGAGGAGATATGACTGGCGCTACTGCTTTTCTCCTTCTTTCTGCTTTAATGTGGATATAATATCCAAAGCTGAGGTAGATATTTTGAGACCATAAGGCAAGAAACAAGAAGAAAAGACTTAAGAAAAGAGAATATCAGAGCTGCCAATCCAGAGTCTGGCATAATTAACCAACAAAATCAAAGCCAATTGTGATTATTTGGCATTAATCACAATGTATTAGAATTGTGATTATTTGGCATTAATCACAAAGAGTAGAATTACTTGTCCGCTGAGTTAGAAGCTATCTACCTCTTAACTTTTCTAATGTGAGAAAAATAAGCCTTTATTTGTTTAAGCTAATGGTAGGTATTCTCTTGCTTGTTGTCAGAAGCATTCCTATTATATCAAAAAGAAGAGTCTATCACCAAAAAGAAGGGTACATTCAGCACTTTTCCAACCTTATCGATATTTCTACTAATCCTTCATTATCATCTTAGAGGAAAAGATATCCTTACTGCACTCCAAGGCAAATGCCCCTCAAGTACATACCCATTTCTTCCAGCACTTTTGATCAACCATTATTTCCTCATTCTTTTATCTTCACTTTCATAACCCTTTGCATTACCTATTTCATTGTCTGCCCGAAATGGATCTCTCTTCTCTGTTCCCCTGACAAATTACTATTATCTTTAAAAACCCAAATCAAAAGTTAATTATATTCTCTGTGAACATTCTTTCTTTTTACCTCAAAGGAGTTAATCTTTCCTTTCTAAATGATCCCATCACATTCTGCATATGTCTTATTTGGCATTAATCACAATGTATTAGAATTACTTGTCCGCTGAGTTAGAAGCTGAGCTCTTTTAGAAAACATTTTGTGGTTTCTGAGGCTGGTGGTGCAAGACAGTCACCTTGGAACTTTAAAAAAATATCTGGATAGTCACTAACCTGGTAATTCTCATGTAGCTACTGCACAGGCCAGTATTTGGGAATCATTATCATAGCTCTTTTATCTCGAGTACCAAAATATAATGAGTGTATTTGTTAAAGAAATAATGAACTGTTACTGAAATAAACAATTATATTTTCTTTACCTGTAAAACTAGCCAATCTTTCCCGTTTAAAGGATGGTTCTTCCAGGTCTTCTGCTATTGATTCACTAGTTGATGCACTTGACTTAGAAACCATACTGCTTCCTAAAACTGATCTTTAATAATAAATAACATGATTCATTTAGTTAGATATCCTTATAGACAATTAAGTATATAAATGAAAACATTATCAGATTGAGAAATAAAATATACTTTAATCATCTATGAAAAATTGCTAAAAATTAATGAGTTCTTTAAACATCAAGTTGATTTTTAATATTCTTTAAGTAAAAAGTCATTTTAAATATATTTTAGAGATAAGACATGTCAAAATCATGCCCAAAGTCCTTCAATGGATTACCAGTATATTTAGTGTAATAACCCAAAATACAGACTACCTACCTAGACTCTTTTCATTATCACTCTTCCCCCTTCCCTTTTCCTCTCTTTTTTCTTCTCTTTTTTAAGTTCCTCAATCTTGTGGAGCTCTCCTACTTCAGGAGGAATACCTTTCCTGTTCTCAGCCTAGAACACCCTTCTTTTCATTTCTCACCAGGTTTCTGCTCATCGTTCAAATCTCATCCTAAATGTATTTTATTCAATTTAATAAAGGTCCTCTCAGGATTTACTTTAAAAAAAAAGTATGTATTCAGTGGGAAACTGATACATTCAAGAACCCCAATATAATTTCCTTAAATATATAAACTAAACATTATTCCATAATATTACATAGGGTTTTTTTTTCCTTTCTATTTATAGTCCCACTGCCCTCCAAAAGGGTGGGTGGGTCCAGTTTACTGAAATATCCTTTGTATGTTGAGCACTCCCATGGCTTCTGAATGCAAATTCAGAGGCTGACTCTACAGCAGCATACTTTCTCTTAAATCTCATGCTTAGTTGACATATGAAACTTTAAATTTGTCAAATTTAAAGTTACACATTCAACTATTTCCCCATAATCTTTACATTGCTTTGGGATGCACCGTTTCATTATCGCAGAGACTCTAAATTTCATTCCTATAAGCATTAATAAAATTTCAAGGATATTAGTATCTACATAATAAATGCATAACATTTCATTTACGAAAAAGAAAATGATGAAAAGAGAAATGAAACCCTAGAAGAAAAGGAATTTGCACGGGAGAAAAGCGGGGTAAGGAAAGCTACTCCTTCCTATAAATTGCAGCATAAGGAGAAATTGGAGAAAACTGTAGAAAGTGAAGAAATATGTCTGCGAGTATGTGATGCTAGCCCCGTTTTGGTTCCTAAGGAAATCTTGAGTCAAATCTAAGTATTTTTTCACAAATGTTTTGGTGTGAGTGTAGGGGAACTTCTTAAGATATGCAAACCTCTATGAAAGGAACATAGATATGGCACATTAGGATAATATAGTGAAGCTGGGAGACTGGAGACATATATGCAACTTAAGTTACATATATGCAACTTAAATGAAAAGACAATATATATGACATAAAAAAGTATAGAATTATATACTCTACCTTGTCAGCTGCCCTAACATACTAGGATTTAGTGTATTTTGATAAAGGCTATAGGAAGTTACACATTCTGATACAAGTGAGCCTTCTTGTGATGTCAATAGTTTACTTGGCTTTGCTGTACCAATATGTGAATCTGGATGGAAAAGAGGTCGAGGAGTAACATCAACTCCATGTGCATCAATCACCTGTGGAAAATGGTAATATAAAACAAAATAAGTAAAAAAGATGAGGTTCCTAAATAATAGAAAATAGAAATAAAAGTAGTAGAAAAAAGATGAGTATAATGTTTCTAGGATAGGATGAACATGAAAAATTTAATGATAAAAGATTTTATGCTTAAAATTGTTTCTTAATTAAACATATTTTTTAAAAAATACTGTTTTATCCATATACAAACAATATAGGTTAATTTCAAGAACATAATTCATCCAGATTGTCAATATTTTTGTATAGTTAGTTTTTTATGCGTAAGCTTTGAAAACACTATTTTTCATTTAACATTTTATTAATAAACATTTCCAGATTATATATTCTTCATTCATTTTGTTTGGGGCTAATTTTCATTCTTTCAATTAAGAAATTTAACACACACAGAAATGTAATTAAAATAAAGCCAGTTAATAATATAAATCGAATGTTATATATATAATAATCACAACTAAAAAATTAGAACATCGATAGCACCTTTAGAAGACTTTACCTCTCCTAGAACACAGATAACACCCCTGGCCTTTGCCCCTTCCGGATGGCAGCTTCTCTCTCCTCCCAGTGGGAATCATTAACTTAATTCTGGTAATCATTTCTTTTCTTCTTTTTATAGTTGTATTAAGTATGTATTCCTAAACATTAGCATTTACTTTTTATACATTGTATTGAAGTAAAATATGCATAAAGTACACATATAAATGTAAAGTTTAATAAATTTTCACAAACTTCACACACACATACCCTACATTCAGATTTAGAGACAGAAAATTACCATCATCCCAAAAGTTCCTTTTATGGGAGACACTATCTCCCACCAAAGGTAACAATTATTCTGATACTATGGATTAGCTTTGCCTGTTTTTGACATTTATTTAGATGGAATTGTATAGCATGTACTCTTTGGTTTCTGATTTCTTTTGTTCAATAGTACATTTGTGAGATTCATTCATATTATGAAGTATAGTTGCAGATCATTCATTTTCATTGTGAATGTCACAATTTTATTTATCTATTCTATTGTTCATGGATGTTTCCGTATAGTTTCCATTTTTTGGCTATTACAAATGGTGCTGCTATGAATATTGTTGTACATGTATTTTGCTTAATACGCTGTTTGAATTTGTGTTAGGTATGTCCGTACCTAAGACTGGAATTTCTGGGTAATAAACATATACATATATGCTCACTTTTAACACATACTGCTAAAGTTTTCCCAAGTGGTTCCCACCAGCAATATATGCTAGTTTTCTGATTGCCCCAGAGTTTTGCCAGCACTTTGTATTTACTGTATTTGTCAATATAATTTAGTTTTGCCTGTTTTTAAATTTATATAGTCATATATTATGACTGACATGTCTGTCATCTTCTGTTCAACGTTTTGTATTTGTCCATGTTGTTCCACGTACAGTAATTTGTTCATTTACTAATGACTATAGGCTGTTGGATTAGTATGTCATATTATTTTTCCATTTTATTTTTAATAGATATTGTTTCAGTTCTTGGTATCATGTGAACTGTTTTAATAAGCATTTATGTAAAAGTATACTGGTATACATGAGAATGCAATTCTATAGGGGATATATAGATGTGTATTTGATGGGTCGACTTGATTAGATAACTCCAAAATGTTCTCAAAATTGGTTGTAAAAATTTTTATGATTACCAGCATTGTGTGATAGTTGCTGTTACTCCACACTCTCATCCACCACTAGCACTGTCAGATTTATAAATTTAAGCCAGTCTGGTATGTGTATACAAGTATCTCATTTTAATTTTTAATTTCCATAAAGTTGAGTTTGTTTTCATAAAATTATTCCCATTTTAATTTCCTTTTTTGAAGAATGTCCCATTCAAGTCTTTTGCATAGTTTTCTATTGAGTTTTTATTGAGAAGAGAAGTCATTAGTGTTTCCAAATGTGAATCTTTTCAGTTTTATGTGTTGCAAATATCTTCTTTCACTCTGTGGCTTCATTTCATTTGTGATACCTTTTAATGAATAGAAGTTCTTAATCTTAATGTAATCAAACTTATTACATTTTCCTTTACGGTTTATGTTTTGGATATCTCATTCAAAAAACTAATCCCACTCCTGAAGTTATGAAGGTATTTTTCTATATGTTGCTGGTATAAATACAATTGCTTTTTGTTTTGTTTGATTTTATCTGATATCCAATAATCTTGCTAAATTCTTATTAATTTGATAATTATCAGTAGGTAACTTTTAATTTTACATGTAGACAAATGTGTCATCTACAAATAATCAACATTTTGTTTCATCCTTTCCAATTCTTATACTTTTCATTTTTTCTTGCCATATGGAATTGGCTAAAACTTCCAAGAATGCTGGATAGATGTGGATCTTTCTTAGAAATGCTTCATCATTAAAAATGATCATTGCTGCATGACTTTGTAGACTGGGATCAGATTAAGGAACTTCTTTGTGATTCCCAGTTTCAGAATCTTTCTTTTTAATCATAAATAAATATTTAATCTTATCAGATATTTTCTATCTGTATTGAGATAATCATATGCTGTTTTCCTTTAAGCAGTTAATATGGTGTATTACACTGAAGGATTTTAAAATATTAAACCAATCTTGGTATACACTCCACTTCCTCATGATGTATTATCTCTTTTTACTGTTATTAAATTTTGCTAATATTTTACTGAGGATTTCTCCATCTATGTTTGCAAGTAAGATTAGCTTGTAATGTTTCTTTCTCATATTGTTATATTCAGATTTTGATATCAATATAATTCTAGCCTCATGAGTTTGGGGTTATACCACTTTTTTTGTTCTATTTTTGTCCATATATATTTAGCACATATCACTAATGAAAAACATCTGGGTCTGAAATTACCTTTAAAAGGAGGTTTTTAAATTATTCATGTTAATTTCTTTAATAGCTTCCAATTTTCAATTTTTGTTTGTCTTGGTAAAAATGTAAGTTTTTAAAAGAATTTTTCCATTTTATCTTAATTTTCAAATTTTTAAAATTCAAAAGTGAAATAAATTTACCACAATATGAATTATCATTTAGAATAGCTTTTAAAGTGTACAATTTAGTGGTTTTTAGTACATCCACAGATATGTGTAATTATCATAACAGTTAATTTTAGAAAGTGTTTATCACTTCAAGAAGAAATTCTATATCCTTTAACTTTATCCCCCTAATTCTCCTCTCCCCTCCTAGCCTTATGCCCCACTAATACATTTCATGTTTCTACGAATTTCCCTATTCTTGATTTTCTTATGAGTGGAATTATACACTATGTGGTATTTGTGACGGCTTGTTTCAGTTAGCATAATGGTTTCAAGATTCATCCATGTTGTAGCATATATTGGTACTTTATTACTTTATAATTTTATTAGTACTTTATTACTCGTGATTGAATAGTGTTTCATTGTATCAATATACCATCTTTTGTTTAGCTATCTGTCCATACCTTTTAGCTATTATGAATAATGTTGCTATAAACATTCAGTGTAAGTTTCTGTGTGGAAATTTATTGTAATTTCTCTTGAATGTATATACCTAAGAGTGGAATTGCTGGGTCATATGGTAACAGTATATTTAACCTTTTGAGGAAATATCGCTGTTTTCCAAAGTGGTAAGATCATTTTACATTCCCATCATCAGTGTATAAGGGTTCTGAATTCTTTACATCCTTGCCAATACTTTTTATCTTTTTGATTCTAGTCATCCTAATAATTATTAAGTAAATATCTCATTGTGGTTTTGATTTGCAGTTCTCTGATGACTAAAGATGTCAAGTATTTTTTCATGTGCTTTTTGACCATTTGCATACGTTCTTTGGGAAAATGAGTATTCAAAGCCTTTGCCAAATTTTTAATTGAGTTATTTGTCTTTTTATTATTGAGTTGTAAGAGTTCTTTATATATTCCAGATAGAAATCCCTGAACAGATATATGGTTTGTAAATATTCTCTCATATTCTCTGGGTTGACTTTTCACTTTCATGTTATGTCCTTCAAGTCACAAACTTTTACTTTTGATAAAGTCCAATTCATCTATTTTTCTTTCGTTAGTCATATTTTGTGTCAAATCTAAGAATTTTTTTTTTGCCAAATCCACAGTCATGAAGATTTACCACTATGTTTTCTTCCAAGAGTTTTCTATTTTAGCCTTTACATGTAGGTCTCTGACTTATGTGGAGTTAATTTTTATATGATATGGGGTAAAGGTCTAACTTCATTCTTTTGGATGTGGCAATCTAGTCATTCCAGCACCACTGACTGAAAAGACTATCCTTTTCCTATTGAATGCTCGATATCCTTATCAAAAATCAGTTGACCATAAATGAATGGGTTTATTTCTGGACTCTCAATTCTACTCCATTGATCTCTATGTCTATCTGTGTGCCAGTACCACACTATCTTGATTACTGTTGCTTTGTAATAAACTTTGAAATTGGAAAGTCTGCCTACTTTCTTCTTCTTTTTCAGAATTGTTTTGGCTATTCTGAGTTCCCTGCAATTTCATATGTATTTTAGAATCAATTGTCAATTCATACAAAGAAGTCAGCTAGAATTCCAATAAGGATTGTGTTGAATCTAGAGATAAGATTAGGGAGTATAGCCATCTTAACAATAGTAAGTCTTCCAATCCATGAATTTGGAATACTTTCCCATTTATTTAGATCTTCTTTAATTTTGTTCAATAATGTATTATAGTTTTAAGAGCATAATTTTACTTCTATTAAATTTATTCCTAAGTATTTTATTGTTTTTGATGCTATTTGTGAAATTGTTTTAATTTTCAAATTGTTTATTACAAGTGTATAAAAAATACAATTAATTTCTATATTGATCATGTATCCTGCAATCTGACAGGATTTGTTCATTAGTTTTAATAGTTTTTTTTTTTTTTTAGTGGATTTCTTAGGAGTTTCTATATGCAACATTATGTCTTCTGAAAGTAGATAGTTTTACTTCTTCTTTTTAAGGTAGATGCCTTTTATTTCTTCATCCAGCTTAATTGTCCTATCTAGAACTTTAATACTCCTAGGTTAAGTATTCTTTACCATAAAAGGATGTTAGATTTTGACAAGTGCTTTTTCTACATCTATTGAGATAATCATGTGATTTTTACTTTTTTTTTTCCTACTGATATGATGTATTACATTAATAGATTTTTAGATGTTAAACTATTTGCATCCCCGGGGTAATTCCTACTTGTTGTTATGAGATCAATTGTCTCTCCCCAAATTCATACGTTGAGGCCCTAACCCCCAGAACCTCTAAATGTGACTGTATTTGGTTACAGGCCATTAAAAGGATAATTAAGTTAAAATGAGGCCTTAGAGTGAGCCCTAATCCAATCTGACTAGTTAGAGGAACAGTAGATTAGGACAAAGAAACACCAGATAAACACACACAAAGGAAAGATCAGGTAAGCACACAGCAAGAAGGTGGCCATCCACAATCTCCATTTTTAAAATAGTTTCTCTTTATTAATATTCTCTATTTGTATTTGACGTGACATGGTCATCATACCTTCTTTAATTATGGTTTCTTTAGTTCTATAAAGATATTTATAATGGCTACTTTTAAATCTCTTTGTGAAATCTGACATCTGGTTCCTCCCAAGACAGTTTCTGTTGCCTACTTTTTTTTCTACCCACAATGAAAAGCCCAGGGCCAGGGAGCTTTCCTTCCCAACTTGTTCTATGAGGCCAGTATTACCCTACTATCGAAATCAGACAAATATATCACAAAAAATTAAAACTACAGACCAATATCTCATATGAATATGGATACAAATATCCTCAACAAACTCTAGCAAACCAAATCTAGCAACGTATAAAAAGAATTATATTCTGTAACTTCATTAGGTTGCTAAGGCTGCCATAACAAAATATCACAGACTGTGTGGCTTAAACAACAGAAATTTATTAGTTCTGGAGGCTAGATGTCCTGGCTCGATCCCACTCCTTGATCTTTTAGTCTACTAATATGGTAAACAATAATGATTTTTAAATGTTGAAACAACTTTGCATGCATTATCCTTACTGGTCATGACTATCTTTTACATAGTATTGTTAATACTATGTAATACCCTAATCCCAATGAGATGGTATTGAGGGGTGGAACCTTTGAGAGACAATTAGGTAATGAAGAAGGGGCCCTCATGAATAGGATTAGTGTTTTTATAAGAGGTCAGAGAGCTAGCTAAATCTTTCTGACATGTGAGAGAAGTTGGCAGTCTGCAACCTGAAAGAGGGTCCTTGTCAGAACCTGGACTTCCAGCCTCCAGAACTGTGAGAAATAAATTTGTTTATAAGCCACCCACTCTAGGGTACTTTGTTATAGCAGCTTGAGTTGAGTAAGATAATAGTACATGTAATATATATATAAATATATAGTATTCGTTTATTAAAACTATGTTAGGGCTATTTCCATTTTTGGCTATTATAAATAAAGTTATTATAAACATATACTTTCTCTTGTATAAATACCTAGAAATGGAATGATGGATGATACAATAGGTATAACTTAATAAACTGCCAAATTGTTTTTCATTTTCCCTTTCTACCAGCAGTATATGAGAGTTCTGGGTCGTTCACATATTTGTCAACATTTGATATGGTCAGTCTTTTAGTTTTAGTCATTCCAACATGTGTGTAGCAGTATTTCACTGTTTTAATTGCATTTCACTAATGACTAATAATGATCATCTTTTGATGTGCTCATGTGCCATCTAAATTGAACTTTGGTGAAGTTTGTTCAAATGTTTCACCCATTTTTAAAATTAGGTTGTCTTAATATTGTTTTGAGTGTTGTTGATATGTTTGAATACAAGTATTTTATCAGCTATATGCTTTGTAAATAATTCTTCCCATTGTGTGGCTTTTCTTTCCATTCTCTTAGCCATGTCTTTCAAAGACTATAAGTTTTAATTTTAATGAAGCTGTTTACCAATTTATCTTTAATGGACTGTGTTTTCTGGTGTCATATTTAAAAAATCATTGCCTAGCCCATTCAGATTTACTAATTATATACTTTTCTGCATATGTTATACTTTAAAAGTTCTAAAAAACTCAATTCTTAAAATTATAAGTTCCCTAATGAGATAAGATAACCAATTTCATAACAATTCATTTTATGATATTTTCTAAAGTACATTGCAAAGAGTGGATGACAGGTGTACTCTATTAAAACTGAATTTGTTGTAATATCATAACCAACGAGTTAAGGTCATGAGTAGACTTTTATCATTCTACTTTAATGATCTTCTTACTAATAATGAATTATAGGAGCCAAATGCCACTATTATGCTTTAAGGTATGTTATGTGGTAAGGACTCTAATAAAATCAATATGTTAATATTAGAAGTGAGTGATTATTTCAAAGCAGCATATTTTCTAACTTTAACATTTCATCAACTTCTTCAGGGTGTCAATTGCTTTTTTTAAAAAATAAGTTTATTTATTTAAATTAGTTTCAAGTATACAGTACATTGGTTACACATCTATATAGTTCATAAAATGATCCCCCTAATTGCTCCCTCCCTCCCCTGGCCTTCCACCTAGCCATCATATTAATGCAAACTGCATTCCCTCTGCCGTGCTCCCCATCCCCGTGACCAACTATCAACTACAAATTTGTACTTCTTTAACCCTTCACCCATTCTCCCAGCCTCCCAACCTCCCTCCCCTCTGTCTGTCACTAAATTGTCCACTATATTTGTGAGTCTGTTTTTGATTATTTTGTTCTTTTTGTTCCTTAGATTCTGCATGTGATATGTGGTATTCATCTTTCTCTGTCTGACTTATTTCACTCAGCATAATAACCTCTAGGTCCATCTATGTCGTTGCAAATGGTAGGATTTCATTTTTCTTTATAATGGCTGAGTAATATTCTATTGTATATATGAACCATAATTTCTTTATCCAATTGTCTGTTGATGGGCATTTAGGTTGCTTCCATAACTTGGCTATTGTAAATTGTGCTGCCATGAAAATAGACTCAAAATAGATTAAAGACTTAAATGTAAGACTCGAAACCATAAAACTTCTAGAAGAAAACATGCAGTAAACTCTCTGATATTACTAACAGGAATTTCTTTTCAGATATATCTCCTCGAGCAAGGGAAACAAAAGAAAAAATAAACAAATGGTACTACATCAAACTAAAAAGTTTTTGTACAAAGTGTCATTTTCAAATAAACTCAGAATTCTAAAAAATATTACCTGAATGGCGGCCCTTGTATTGGAAATACTGATTTTTTCTGTTTTTATGTCAGGTAGAATCACCATGGTTTTTGACGCACCCATTCTGCTTTGGTATGCACTAGCATATCCTTTCACTTGAATTCCTCTTGCCAGACCAATAAAGCTAATAGACTTCGCTGGCTGTGTGCCAGTGTTCCTATATCAGGAAAAGAAAACATAATACAGCAGATCCACAATTGAAGAAAAATGAACCAATAATAAAAAAACAGACTTTCGTTTAGAAACATGGAAACAATATAAACATATAAACAAGAAATAATAGCAACTGAAGAGCTCTTTATGAGTAAGCAAAGTTCTAGAATGTTTATATGCATTATGCCAATCTTTCCACTCAGAAATTCTAAGAGGTTACTATTAATATTATTTTATATAAAATTACAGAGGTTTAGAGGGAAACATTTCTACTAGAGTTGAAATTTAAACCCAGGCAGTCAGATCAAAAGTCTACACTGATTTATCTGGGTCTGTTTCCTTATCTGTATAATGGGGATAACAATAGTATCTAACTCACAGGTTATTTGAGGACTAAAATAATTAATTTATATATTACAGCTAGGAATTACCTGACACAGAGTAAGCAGAAATGAGTGCAGAGTGCAGTTACGCAGGTAAATTGAAGCATAAATATAAGCCTATGAAAGAATATAATGTTCCTGCCTGAACAATTATATAATTTTTAATGAGAAGTTATAATCAAAATGTTTGTATCCCAAAGAAAAAAATATGATTTCACTTTTGGATCTATTCTGTAAATTCCCTAAGACAAAAGCCTACCTTATCACCTGTTCATTCTAGTACTCTGATTGTACTGCGGATATCTATAAAATGAAGATGATCTTCCCTTAAATTAAAGAAATATATTTTCAAAGAAAACATTTCTAGCAATACTTTTACTCTCCAAATCATAAAATATCAGAAAAGAATATTTTTACAATCCACTTTTCATATTTTATTTTTCTTTGAAGCTGTTACTACTGCTTGACACTTTGTAGTTGTCCACTCTTCTACTGGAATAGAAGCATGTTTATGGCAAGAACTCTGTCTTGTTAATTGCTACATCCCTAGCACCCAAGACAGAGCCCAGTATATTGCGGGCACAAAAAGTGTATTTTTAAATGAATAAGAGAATGTCATTCATGTACTATTTCAAATTTATTCTTTTCTACTCTATTCTCCCTCCTTCAGTCTCTAAATGACTTTGCCTCCAAAATCTCTAAGAAAATAAAAGTGATTTTTCACCAGGTAAAAACTCCTTAAATTATTTCTCCATCTTATATTCTCCTTTCACCTCCTACAAACTCATCTAATTCATCTTTAATTCTATATGAAATATAGAAATGTATTTCTATATTTATTTCCTTTTTCAATAAGAGTCGCCATTCTTATCTAAGACTGATCTTTCTACCTGTGCTTTGGAACCTGTCTCTCACTACTTTCTCAGGAGCTCTTTTCCATCAATAATTTGTCTCCTATATCTTAGTTCCTATCTTTTCCCTCATGTATAATTAAGCTCCAGTCATTCCACATTTAAAACTCCTTCCTTTAACTGTCTTCCTCTATTACTATATCTCTCCTTCGTCTTTAATATTTTTTATTTTTCAGCTTTACTTGGCATACAATGTTATATTAGTTTCAAGTATACAACATAGTGACTAGACGTCTATAAAACTCACAAAGTGATCACTCCAAAAAACCTAGGGCTCTTCTGACACCGTACAGTTATTACAATATTACTGGCTATATTCTTTATGCTATACTTTGACTATTTTGTAACTACCAATTTGTGCTTCCTAATCCCTTTCTCCCTTTTCACTAACTCCCCTCCAACCCTCTTTCATCTGGTAACCCTCAAAATGTTCTCTGTATCTATGAGTTTGTTTTTGTTTATTTGTTCTTTAGATTCCATATAAATGTGCAATCATATAGCATTTGTTTTCCTCTGACTTACACCACTAAGCACAATGTCCTCTAGGTCCATCATGAAATATCTTTTTCCATCCCATTACTTTTAGTCTGTGTCTTTTAATCTGAAGTGAGTCTCTTAGTGAGGCAGCATATATAAGGGTCTTGTTTTCTTATCCATTTAGCCATCCTACCTTTTGATTGCATCATTTAAGCCATTTACACTTAATTGTAAATAGATATGTAGCTATTGCCATTCTTTATTTAGATTTTTGATACATGTTTTTTTCTTCTTCTTAAGGCTCTCCAACATTTCCTGTAATACTGGCTTGGTGGTGATGAACTCCTTTAGATTTTTCTTGTCTGGGAAGCTCTTTATATGTTCTTTGATTCTAAATGATAGCTTTGCTAGGTAAAGTAATCGTGGTTGTAGGTCCTTGCTTTTCATCACTTTGAATATTTTGTGCCAAACTCTTCCGGCCTGTAGAGTTTCTGTTGAGAAAGTGGCAGACAATCTTATGGGGTACTCCTGTGTAGGTAACTGCTTTTCTCTTGCTTTTAAGGTTCTCTCTTTCGATTTAACCTTTGGCATTTTAATTATGATGAGTCATGGTGTGGGCCTCTTTGGGTTCATCTTTTTGGAACTCTCTGAACTTCCTGGGGTTGTATGTCTATTTACTTCACCAGGTTAGGTAAATTTTCCATCACTATATCTTCAAATAGGTTTTCAATTCCTTGCTCTCTCTCTTCTCCTTCTAGTATCCCTGTGATGCAAATATTGTTATGTTTGATGTTCCATAGGCTTCTTAAACTAACTTCATTTGGGGGAGGGGGATTCTTTTTTTTTTTGGTGCTGTTCTGATTGGGTGTCCTCTGCTCCACCACCCTCTATGTCACTGATTTGATCCTCCATTTCATCTACTCTGTTGATTCCCTCTAATGTTCTCTTCATCTCAGATATTGTATTCTTCATTTCTGACTGGCTCTCTATTATGTTTGCCATCTCTATTTTTGTCTTCTATCTCTTTGTTAAAAGTTCTCACTGAGTTCATCTACTCTTCCCGAAGTTCCATGAGTATTCTCATACCTAGTGTTTTGAACTCTGCATCTAATATATTGCTTTCCTCCATTTTGGTGAATTCTTTTTCTGGAGCTTTGTTCTCTTCTTTCATGGGGGACATGCTTCTTTATCTCCCAAAATAGGGGAGATGAAGAAGCATGTCTGTTTCTATGTATTAGGTATGGCTGTGTCTGTTTCTATGTATTAGGTATGGCTCCTAAGTCTCCCAGTCTTAGTAGAGTGGCATTATGTAGTAGGTGTGCTGTGGGGCCTAGTGGCACAGTTCTGGAGTGGGAGGGGGTGTCCAACTGCAGACCAAGTTCAGCTACAGCCTGTGTACCTCTGGGCCACCTGGTAAGAGTCACCAAGCAATCCACATACAGCTGCCATCTGTAATGGGCTTATAGGTTCTAAGTCAGAAACCAAGGCCGGCTACCACAAGTGCAGGGTTTCGGGCTGCTCAGCAAGATGTACAGGGCACTACGAGGCCAGATGCTGCTTCTCTGGGTTTTATGATACTTTCAGAGATTTTATGAAATTTCGCAGCAGGAGCCAAGACAGTCCATTTATATGGAATAAATCACTGGAAACAGCTCTAATGGGCCCACATGTTGGGAGAGGTAGAGTCTAAGGAAATCCCCTGGGCTGAGTGACCTGTGTCACCTAGGATGATCATGACTGGGATACGGCAGCACCTGCATCTACAGGCTGGGAGAGGGGAGGGCTCAACAAAAGAACAATGGATTCTGCCTGCACCTCTGTCCAAGAGAAAGCCACCCCTCTAGCCCTTGCCCTGAAGCCCAACACATCAGCACCTACTTGTATGACCTTGGTGGCGCTCAAACACTGGAGCTCAGAGCAAGCGAGTCCGTCAGCGAGTAAGGTGGAGCATAGACCCTTGAAGAGGAACAGTCTCCAACTCCCTCAGCCCTCCATCTTACTCAGCCACAGCCTCTGCTGGTTTTCAAAGCCAGAGGTTGTGGTAACTTCTCTTCCCTGCACTTAAAACTCTGGGGAATCCAGTTTGTGGCCAGGACCCTTTGCTCCTTCAGGTGGGGGAAGTGGCGCTGCAGCCAAGTGAGCCCTCTTCATTCTCAATGGCCATATGTGGTTGTAGAACCGGGCTTTCCTGTCTCCATCCCTCCGAATATTTTGAGGTGACCTGTTATTTTTGTCCCTAGTTGTAGAGCTTCTGTTCAGCCAGACCACAGGTGACTCTGCGTGCTGGCTGCTCTGTAGTTTTGTTATAATTTTGGTGTGGTTCTTTTTTCTTTGACTTTTTTTTTTTTTAACTTGGATTGCTGGACACTTTCCTTATCTGGTTTTCTTTCTTTTTTCATCCTTGGATTTCTTCTCATTTCTATCTCCATTCATAGCTTAGGTGAACTCATCCAAAGCTATGTTTTAAATACCATTTATATGATAATGACTCCCAAATATATCTAATTGGACCACTCTTCTGAACCCCAGGTCCATATATCCATTTGCCTATTTGACATCTCCAACTAAAAATTAGCATGTCTTTGAGCTCCTGACAGTCTTGCTCTCACTCCATCCAGCAAATATACTCCTCTTGCAGTCTTCGCCTGTTTGTTAAAGGTAATGCTGTTATTCCAGTTGCTCTGGTAAAAAAAAAAAATAAACTTAAAAACATATCCAGAATCCAAACATTTGTCTCCATCCTTTTTGCCACCATCTTGGTCCAAACACTATCTATCTTTCTTGGATTATTGTAATAGTCTTCTAATTCATCTTCTTTCTTAACATCAATCCCCTGGTCAGTTCTCCAAATGGCAACCAGAGAGAAGTTTTAAAACTCATGTTAGAACATATCACTACTCTGCTTGAAACCCTCTATTCATTCCCAGCTTGTTCAGAGTAAAAGCCAAAGTTCTTACTCTGACCTAAAAAGTACTACATCCAGTTAGGTCTCTGACTTCATGTTTAATGCTCTGTCTCTCATTTACTCTGCTCCAATCACATTGACATCCTTGATATTTCCATACCAGGACCTCTGCATTTGCTGTTGCCTTTGCCTGAAATGCTCTTCTCCGTACATGTATGTGCTTAGCATCTCTTCTTTCAGTCTTTACTTAAAACTATCTTCTTAGTGTGGCCTTTTCTGGCTCCCCTACCTAAAATGTCAAATACTCTTCTTGAATCCTTCATACTCT